GTTCATCACGAGCACAGTAACTGAAATTTAAAACTGTTCAAAATTTAACTGCCATTAAATTTTACTATTATATTTTAACTAAAATCTTACACAAACTATAAATTTACACATTCATTTAAATGTGATAGTTTGCGCAAACATGTTTTTGCGAATGATTAACTAAACTACACGACGATTAACTAAACTACACAGATATGCAAAAGAAATCTATCGTATCTCTTGCTCTGGCTACTGTGTATAGACCACCAGGGCCATATACAGATTTCCTAAAAGAATTTGCAGATTTCCTCTCAGACCTATTGGTTACTGTTGATAAAGCGCTAATTGTCTGAGATTTTAACATTCACGTTGATAATACAAATGATGCATTAGGACTTGCGTTTACTGACCTGATAAACTCTTTTGGAGTCAAGCAAAACGTCACCGGGCCCACTCATCGTTTTAATCATACGCTAGATTTAATTATATCGCATGGAATTAATCTTACTGATATAGATATCGTACCTCAAAGTGATGATGTTACTGACCATTTCCTTGTATCGTGCATGCTGCATATTACTGATATTAACTTTATGGCTATGCGTTATCGTCCAGGCAGAACTATTGTTCCAGCCACCAAAGACAGATTCACAAATAACCTGCCTGATTTATCTCAACTGCTCTGTGTACCCATAAGTACACATGAACTAGACGAAATGACTAGCAACATGGGCACTATCTTCTCTAATACATTAGAAGCTGTTGCCCCCATCAAATTGAAAAAGGTTAGAGAAAAACGCCATGATACTGCGCCATGGTACAACAGTAATACCCATTCTCTCAAGAAAAAAACTCGTAGTCTTGAGCGCAAATGCAAAAAAACTAACTTGGAAGTTTTTAGAATTGCATGGATAGTGTTCATCGTCTGTTTGATTACGTCTTTAATTGATTTTTCCGTACATTTCTGCCATATGTACATTGACTGACAGTCACCACTGATAAGCTACCACTAAATATTGTAGAAACTTAATTTGCTGTAAAGTTTCTTTGCAATGATTTGTATCGTGAAAAGCGCTGTACAAATAAACTTGAATTGAATTGAATTAAAAGAAAAGGCTCAATAAACTAATGCACATATTTAATACACTACGCATCAATATCTCTTCACTTTGTGCTTTTAACTTCTCTATGCTGCGCGCTTTGACGCCGTGTTGCTTCAAGCGCATCATTCTGTGCACGGGATGCGCAAAAGCGCTTTGTGCCGCTCTGTATTTGGAGTCTTTAGTATCATAATACTTTTGTGCAATGAAAGATTATTAATAGCCTTTCTTGTTCGTCTTATCTATCATATGTTGCTGCCTCATTACTCTGCCATACATTTAAAAGAAATGTCGTTTAATTTATACAGTAGTCAACATTTGAAGTGGATCAAAGTTAATCAAAGTTGTCCTAAGGCAAGAACGGGTATTGTTTTGGTTTTAGGACAACTTTGATGAAAGGTTT